GCTGCTACGGATACTGCTGCTGCTGCTGCTGCTGTCGCTGCTGCTCACCCCGCGCCTCTGCTGCTGATGCACTCACACGGGGCGCTGCTGCCCGGATGCTGGGTGCGGCGTTGCTGCAAATAGGGTTTTTAATTTTGTGTTGTTTTTGAATATTATTTTTATATTTTTTGCTTAACAAATAAATAAAACTGCTGCTGCGACAGAGCGATCACCGCCACAGGGGGTCGCTCGCTGCCGGCCACGTTTGCTTTCAGATGCAGCAGCAGCAGCAGCAGAGGCTTCACGTTATGGGTGTCGTATAAAAAGTTTTTATTTATATTTATTCTGTATACTTTTTTAAAATAAATAAGCCATTACACTAGTGATTCATAGACCATTTCTTTTGAGTTGGTAGCCCCCCCACGACGGCTACCGATCGAGTACAGTCCAGGCATTCTCTTCTCGTTCGTGCGCAGCTGGGGGGTTATATATATATTATATATTTATTATGTTGTTGTGTTGAAGGTGTTTGTTGTCTCCACCTTTCAGCCCCTGTTTCTCGCTGCAGCAGTAGTCACTGACACGCGCAGCTGCGAGACACAAGAGTAGGTCTCGGCGGGCTCTGCTGAGGCGACGGCCTCAGGCTTGGGGGGGGATAGGCGTGGGGGGGGATAGAGTAGAGAGAGTTTAAAAAGGGGCTAACAGAAACTAGCTGAGCTTTCGTACAGTCTCCAGGCATACTGGGGCAGCACAGCAGTAGAGAGGCGTAAGCATCTCAGGTGTTGCAGCACACCTTGCTGGGATGCGTGCAGAAGGAGCTGCGAGGCACTCATACATGCAAGCACACTTACCCCACTTTTTGTGGGTACAGGAACACTGTATACAGCCGGTAGAAACTTTCCTCACCCTTACTGGTATGCCTGCGCGGAAGTACAGATGCATATACATACAGAACGTGCTGTGTTTATATTGGGCTTCTACTGTGGATATACAGCAGTGTATTGCAGGCTTTCAGTTCCTGCTTTATAAATTACTGTGCATCAAGGCAGTGTTAGCAGCGTGACAGCATCGCTGTTTGCTTATATAGGGGGAGAAGTGCGACTGCACGTTGTGGGCGTCGTAGCAGGGAGGCGTGCAAGCGCCCGCCTATGCGTGTATTTTGGCTTATTGGGTCCCAGTAAAAGTTTAAAAACTGGGAATAAAGCTCTTCTGTGCAATGAATACGTGCATAGGAACCGCATGCTGTAACGCACAGTGCTGCAACAAACGATAGACACACCCCGTCCCCCAAATAGTTTCAGTAGCCTCTACCTTTTCCATCGGGACCGTTAGATATAAGAGGAAAGGGAATGTGCATGCTGTCGTGTCACTTCAGGTCCCGTGAATCCTAGGCTAGGGCTAAACAAGATGTGATAATATGGCGCTGATGAGTGCGTAGACGTGTACATGCTGGTTGAAACGAGGCGGGATTGTTCTGAGTTTGTTCCATGGCACGGATCGTATCGGCTAGTGATATGAAAAACCTCCTGCAGTTGAAGGTGGTGCGTCTGCTGCCACTGTTCCTTTAGCGTGTAGATCTCAGATTCTTCAAGAGTGAACGCACAGACCCCCAATTGTTGCATACTTACTTGGCCCGCAGTAACTAGCCTGCGCAGAAGTAGAAATACGCAGACCAACTTCACACGGGGAATGCTACATCGTAGGTAGCCGGCTGCGAGCCAGAAGAAACTTCTATGTTAGAACGGGTGGAAGGCGGCCAAATAATACAATCGCTATGCAAAAAAGCAGTTGAACAACAGATATAGCCATAGGTGGAAACGGGAGAGCAAAATTTTGGATTAGGTACAGAAGTAGAACTAACACACTCACAGGCTGTCCACGCTTGTAATAGTCATGGCATTGTTGCCGTGATTGTAGGGAGTATTCACTACATTAAGCCCGTTAGGCTTCCACTGGTGGCCGTAGGCTACCTAATCCAGGTGCTGGCTTTCGCCGTAAGCTCCTAAAGCGCCGCCAAAATCGTACGTCTCTCACTGAATGAACGTAGTTAAGAGTGATTCCAGTTTCAGGGGCAGAACACAAATGTTTTCTTCCTTCCTCCGTTGTTTACCTAGCTCGAGATGCTGCATGCCGATGCCCCCGTGGAGCCCTACACCAGGACATACGTTTATTGCACTGTCCTTGAACTTAAAAAGTTGCATAAAAACGCTTCGGCCCAGGAAAGCAAGTCAGAGCTGGTACGTCGCATGTATTTACTGAACAAGAGAAGGCCTGGAGATGCAAACTGATGAAGGTGTTTGAGTTGAGGGCCGGCTCCCACTGAATGGCAGCGTGAATTTTAGGAATACTAGAGGGGGGCGAGGCCAAAACCCTTTATCTTGGGAGGTGGACAGTACTACCTCCTGTTCATAAGGCTTTGTTCTAATCTGCACACTGATTTGGTTTCTTTATTATCTACCGAAACTGCTGTACGGTTTCTCTACCTCCTACTTACCCAGCGTAGAAACGTCCAACTGGATGGTGACGGTTGGTTCAGAGGCTTACTCAAACTAAAACTACTGAGCGGTGTTCTACAGAGCCATGGAGGTGCTATTATGATGATAAACGTAAGCAAGATTCTCTGTAAAACTCAGCATCTGGATATATGCCGAACTGGAAGCAATGCTTTGGTAAAATCCAGCGTACCCCAAGAAACGTGCAGATAGTCAATAACCGTCTCATATGTCTTACACAAAATTTTTACTTTTGATTGCGTATACAGTCGAAACAAAGAAGGAATTCAAACCCAAAATACTAGCTGTAAGAAATTGTGCTGCGCAAGCACAAAGGCAAACCAAAGTTGCTGGTTAGAACACCAGATGAGGCAAACTACACCTAACATCAGGATAATCACAGCTTGATCCTGTGAATTCTGTGAGCTCATTTCAAGCTCCTTTACATCAAAATTATGAATACAATTCTGTCCAACGTGGGGACACAGGCTACATGAAGTTCCAGCATCAATTTCTACAAAGCATGTTCAGTCCAGTTCTAGACTGTCATATCTCTACTGTTGTGCTTGCCTCAGTTTGCAAACAGTCGACTGCATGCAAATGCATTCTTATGAATCCGAAAGCCTAAACCTGGATTGAATCCCTATATAGACCTTTTGGCAAAATGTTAAGAGTGCAGTTTTCGTTGCCCCATGCATACCACTCGTCTGTATCGATTGTATTGTTGCTCACCTGTATCTCCGTAGCAAGTTAACGAGCCGCGTAAGCTGTGAATATATAAATTCTTGAGCACTAAATGGCATAACATCATACGCAAAA